AGCTACGTCTACTGGCCTCTGATGGACTCACAGACTGAAAAAGTCTCCAAATCTCTCCTGCAGTTTGCTAAAGCAGCTAGGCAACCCTTAAAAGCCTGCGGTCATCGCCGCAGCCGAACCATCCTCCATCTTATCCTCACACCGACGTTGCAGGTCCGGTTGGTGATCACTTTTTGGTCGTAGTGGACGCCTGTAGCCAGATTGATCAGTGGTTCGAGAGCGAATTTACTGACCGGAAGATGCGTAGCCGACCTCTGCCTCCCCCTTGAATAGGCTTGAGCGACCTGCCGGTATCCCAGTCCTAATGGCATGGCAGTTATGTACCGAAAAGCGCTACAGCTTAACAGTTACGATAGCAACTGGCCGGAAATACTTCCAGTGAACAGCCCTACAACTGTCCGTACCATCCCAGAATTCTAACGATTATCCAATCGCTAACGTATCGGATAACAGCAGTTGGTTCACGTCATCGGCGTTCACAGAGTTTTGCTGAGATGACGTTGTAACCCACGTCCATTCACCGCCGTTCATCCACCAAGGTCGAACGGCCAGGTAAAACGCTTTGTTTGCACCCAGAAGCGTGCGCGTCGAAAGTCCAAAGGGGCAGAACGGCGGAGGAGATTTCGCAGAGGTTCCTGCTGTCATATTGAGACATTTCAACAACTGGCTCAATGGAGTGTCATCGACAGAGGTGCTGTTCCGACAGCCTTCGAACACTGCGTGACATTACCTGGTCACACAAAAGGCAACTGGGTCGCCGCGAAACAAAGGTGGAAGTCCGATCATGGCGCGACCGCACGCTGCTTCAGCGAAGACCAGAGAGTTCTAGCTCGTGACCACAGAGACAGACGCCCTAAGTGGATATGTAATCAGGCATTGATCTGCTTCAACCTTTGTCGATTTCCGCAAGCCTTTCTTTAGAAGACCTTTGACCTCAACAGTTTTCACTGCATGAAGCAACTGGACAGTATCCAAACAACAATGAGAAAGTGAATCGACGGACGGGAGGCTTTAAAATACTGTTGAACTCACCCCCACTGAAAACTCAGGACATTTAGACCAGTCCAGCCTTAATTGTGATGAGCTTAGTAAAATGAATGCCGTCGCAATCGTCAGCAGCTTTAAAAAATGCTCCCGGTAAAGACCGGATCCATGCTTGGATCCGTAAATCCTGCATCCCAGTATTTCCTGAACCACTCCACCAGCTGCGTCGCCTAATCTGTTAAATTGAAGCCATTCCACGAGATTGGGGTATTTCAATATTACTGTTTATTTCAGAAAAAGTGCCGTATGATTGTAATCACCTTGGGATCAACCCCGCCAAAATATTTCCATCACTTTTGCTGCGTTTTTTTCCAAACACGGTTTTCATGCACAAGTTCAGTCCAGTTTGTCCGCTGTTAACCGTGTTTTTTAGGGTTACTGGAGCCTATGGTCCCAGATAGTGTTAGACAGGGAAGAGTCTTACACAAAAGAGAAAACACTGGGTTAACGATTGAGAACAAGAAAATGGACACGATGCTGCCACTGCTGGATACTTCCAACCATTGATGTGGTGGCCCTTTGATACCCAAACTGCGCCGACAATATGCATTGGTGTGGCCAAGATCCTATGTCATGTTTCTTATGCTACATCTCAATGCTATACAATGTCCACTTTGTGGTATCTTCCAGTAGGAACCTGCCCCAGAAAACAAGGCATTATGATGCAATCGATCACCTGGCATACGGAACACATGGCCCTGCCAGCGTTGTTGGCGCAGCCGATCCAACTCACCAATTGGATAAGCAACTTATTTGTCGCGCGTCAGTAGTGCCAATTTGATGTTATGCTATATGTGCAATGCTTTGAGGGCTCTGATGACCAAGGACAAGCATTCTTCTCTTGTGTGTGGGGGGCGAGATGGCCCAAGCGCGAATTTACTGACCGGAAGGTCCGTGGTTCGAATCCGACCTCCGCCACTCGACTTCCCCTGTCTAGGCTTGGGCAACCTGGCAGTATCCCAGCCCTTGTGCTTCCTTCGGGTGGCATGGCAGCTAGGCACCGGAAGGTTGCTACAGCTGAACGCGTGGTGCAATTTTACCTTTGCTCAGGTCCGGAGGGATGGGCTGGCGGGACATTTTGTAAAATGTACCGTGTATTTAAGCTGAGCCGTTTATTGGACGCCTCGTCGTTGAGAGTGCTTTATTTTATCACAAAAATGGCACCATAGGAGCACATGAACATCCCCCCGTCATTGACAGCAACACCAGACGAGAACCGTGGTAATTCGTTTCTGTATTGTCCTGATGTAGCGAATAATCTCTATTGAGGGAAATAAGCGTACCTAACCGAATTGCACTGGAGTATGCCCTTTGTGGCCTTGGGGTCCTAGTGACTGTTTGGTCCGTTTAGTAGCTCTCCACATTTCCACAGATATATTGATACGCTGAGTTCCAGGACAGGGTTATCGTTGAAGTCAGGGAGGACCCTGTTTTACCACACGCGCTCAGATATTTCAAGGCCAAGCTCAGTTTCACTCGTGGTCATCATCCTTGACACCACATCACTGTTCGAGACTGACGCTTCGTTGCCATGCAGCTATAACTTGTTTGAAAGCCTTATTATGAAGAAGACAATGAAAACAGATGGGGAAAGTGCTCAGTGCTACCATCCCACAGCCACGTCGAGGTGCCTACACTTGCAGACACTCATTCAGACAATCTGGACGGAGAATTACAACAAGAATGTCATTGACATCGATTAGGAGCCATATCACGCAGCGTCTCCAAACATGTACTGAAAGAATCAGACGGACCCAATCCCGGAAGGCGAGTTGCACCGACAGTAACCAGACTTTTCGTGATTTCTTTCATATCCCCTGCGAGGTCAGAGGTTGGTCACCCCGCTCTGAATCTGGGCACGGAGAGCAGCAATTTTCGGCAATCGATGGCAATGCACGGCCTAACCACTGTAGCTCTTGTTGCTGGACATCTTCGATTGAGGTACCTGTTGCACAATCGATCACTCCTTTCCTAATAGTCTCGTGGATTCACCGACACTGGTCTATGAGCGCCACGGTTCTGGGGCCATGGTTGTCTAGGGCCTGACACTTATCAGCCGTGCTACTTGTGGAGACCATGATTTACAGATACATGACAAAACAACCCTCATTCTAGCGTGATACGTGCGCCTCTGTTGGACGGCTTTGCTGCCATAGGTGTCTCAAATTAACAAACGTGACCTGAGCCTTAGAGGTTTGTGGATTAGCTTCATTTATCGCACTACAATAAAAGATTACACAACATCCAAAGTACGTGGAACACTCCACAACCTCGAGTGCCTTTCCTTGGATTGTAACTTACGTGCTGAATGACCGCATGCCTAGCATCATGACTTAACACTTTGTGGGTGCAAGACATATGGCACAGGTGGAATGACGTTTGTCAGTTCATCCAAAGACGCTTGTCTCTGCTCTCTTCATAGGTGAGAACGACGTCGTCCTTATATTTCAGGTTTTCCTCGGAAACTGTTTGAAAGTCAGAGTCCTAAAGACCTGCCAGCGGTAATCGCATTATCTCATCGATTACGAAAGTAAATAGGAATCGAGAGAGTGGGCACTCCTGACAAATACCACTTTGTGTATGGAGATTCTTGGAGATTCTCACTCACCCAGCACTCTGGGAAGACAAAAGCATGTTGCACTGACAAACTTCGGGGTATTCCTTACTGAGGAAACGTGCTAAGGAGAACACAGATCAACAGAGTCAGTGCGCCTTAAAAGGGCAGGAATATTAAAACCGTGACTCACTTATACGTACGACGTTGCTCCATCACTTGAGGTAGTGCGAAGATCTATATAGCTTCTACCAGGTCGAAATCCTGCTTGCCGCTAAGGCCAATGCTTCATGGGCCACCGTAAGGCGGCGAAGGACAATAGATGTCAAGAGTTTCATTGCTACTGGAGTTAAGCTAATCTGTTCGTGATTTTCGTAATGGATACGGACCTGATTTTTGAAAACGAACACTTCTGCCGACTCTCTCCAGTTGTTTGGGGCGGTCTTCTTTTTCCTAGATGGAGGCAAGCAGATCAGACAAGTGCTGAACATTATTGCGCATTTTTGAACAATGTGAGTGGGAGTTCATCCAGACCAAGGGTCTGGTGGCTTTTGAACGAAAATATGTAGTCATAAGCCTCCGGGGCCATAAGAGTTTCCAGGCTCACTGTCCAGGGTTCTGGTACGGTTTGACAAGTCGGCTGAGTAGCAGCAGTTAGTCTCCAGAATTGTTTCCTTAGGCGCTCGGTCCGGCGGTCAAGGTGTCTTTCTTTGTTGAAGATGGTTAGCTGATGGTCCTTGGTCGCTCTGCTCACGGGCAGTCTTTGGCGAGTAGTCACACGAATCAATCGGACTGATCTTCGGGTGTTCCCGGTACTTTCGGCCCCTTTCCCATCTCTTAGCTCCTCCTCGTCCATCGGGCATCATGGTTCACACGCACGCTAAGTTTAAATTAAAGTCTGATAATTCGTCTGGTTGAATTATGTTCGGGACGGGCGGATCGGTTCTTTGAGGTTCAAGGGGCGCCACCGTTCTGTCTGATGTCCAGTGTTCTAAGGGACCTGGTGGCGCCATGCTACACGTGTAGCTTCTCACACTGTGCAAGGATGTAGTGATCTGGTTCCAGCAGGGCGTCCGACAGTGGGGCAGCTGGACAAGAACCAAAGAAAGGTTGGGACAAGTTCTTTTAACTTTGGGATCCACCACCCCTTCAATTTGCAAACAAGTTTTCCGTCTCTTGAGCAACTGTGTAAAGTGAAGAGAGAAGCGACTCCCAAGATTCCGAGAGACTCAATAATGGGCATTTTTATGGGTGTTGTTGCTTACGATTTTTTGGTTGCCCTTATCCTAGGGCAAAATTGTCGATGGATTTTCAACTTCCGTTGTTCCATTTTTCAGCATATCGCGCTCCATATGTATGCTTTTTCCTTACAGACAGCGAGTGAACCCTCCATCACCGTGAAATGCGTTTCCCTACCATTCTGTATGCAGCTGCTGCCGCCTTACACGTAATCGAACCGTCTGCGACAGTCGATCGGCACGATGGTGGGCAGCGAATTACAGCAAGCAGATCGCGCTTGTTTCCACGTCAGATGCACCGGCGAGCAACTTCGCTTATTCAGCTGTTTAAGGTGTGTGTAGCTACTTGAGTTGACAGTCGTCCTACAGGAGCGTTCTGGATGTCCTGGTATCAGTGTGTGTATTTCGTATGCTGGAGAGTGTGTGTACAGTGAAGGTAGGTCTACGGATCGAAGTCATTTTGTGCGCTATTTCGAGGATGTTTGTTTGGGCATCCCTTTACAGGCTAATCGCCTTATAAGAGCTGTGCATATGGTATATCGTAAACCGTGCAAGTATTTAGCCAGGAACCGCACCTTACTTACCTTGATTTACTTTATTGTGGCTTGCTCCTACGGGAGGAAAAGCCATCTCCATGAATGTCCTATATTTTAGCGACTCACGTTTAGTGACCAGCGTTGTTGTCAACCCATCTTGCTTCCAGGACGGATACTGTAGATGTATTTGACATCAATAAGTTGAATAACCTGCTGGTCCGTAGTAAACCTTGGTTTCAGTTGATTCCCACAACGAAGACGCCAATTTTACAGTAGAACTGGGTTGAGGACTTCCTCACCAACTCACCCTGTGGCCCATGATTAATATGACGAGAATACATTTCGACTTTATGAAACACCAAACTGCCTGATTAAAACCCTATCGCTTCACCAGTGGTTGAAAGCACGTAGCAACCGTTTGCCTTCGCACCGCATTGATTGGGTTCCACATTCACATCCGAAAACAGGACGAATGACGGCAGACCCCGGTTTCATCACATCCCCACGCCACAGAGCATCTTTTCCACAAGAGAAACGCCTATCTGGCGCCATCGATGCTGCTCAGCTGTAGCACCCTTTCGGTGCCTAGCTGCCATGCCACCAGAAGGAAGCACGAGGACTGCGATACTGCCAGGTTGCCCAAGCCTAAACAGGTGAAGTCTCGAGGCAGAAGTTGGGTTCAAACCATGGACCTTTCGGTTAGTAAATTGGCGCTATAGCCACTGAGCCAACCCACCACCCCCAAATCTTTACTTCATTCTTGGTTTGATCATTGGGAAGAATACGAAACTGTAAGAAAGCGAGTTATATGACTTAGTGACAGCGAGAAGCCCATTAAAAACGTCTTTGTTTTGGTCACCTAAGTTTCAAGTCTCATGTGGGGTTCGGTGGTTAGCATCCGGCTAAGTGCCCTTCCCAGATTTTCTGTATCTCCTGCGTAGTTAATGTGACAGAGTCCAAAGTCGGATGGTGCATTAGAACAGGACTATGGATAAGGACTTTCCTGCTATACGTTGGTGCGTAGATCAAGGTCTTCAGACCTCACTGTATTCTCGAACACGTTGTTTGCCTGTGGAATAATCAGATAACATAAGGTAGAGAAGCTGGAGCGGTGCGGCATGGTAATCGAGTTCACATTAACCCACGTAACCGTAGGCTGTTAAAACTCGGAGCCATTTCATTGTACGACGCGGAGTAAGGATATGGTTTACGCATCCTCCACTTGGGTGAAAGCCTCCTTGATTGAGCCACGCACGGGTATTTTTGCCGCAGTGATTGAGCAGAGGTATCGCCTATATCTTGGCATTTGTGTCGGCGACGCCGATGCCGTAGTGGATGTCATATACTGCTTTATTGCATTTAGAGATGAAGGTACTGAGACCCTAGCTTTACGGCAAAATGCCAGTGCACTCCGATGTGAATGAGAAAATTCACCTTCAGGATTACTGTTTACGTGTTTTGGAAATATTGAAGATGTTTCTGACATGGCGCCAAACGGAACCATCTTACCCATTCTTATTCGCAGCAAGCTCATCATCATCATCATCATCGACAGCATGACATCAGTGTTCAACACCGATGCTTCACTACCGTACAACCATGACTTATTTGAAAGCCTTATTGTAAAGAAAAGAATAAAGGTGGATGGGGGAGGGACTTAGTGCTAGCTTAACACAATCATTCCGAGGTGCCTACACCTCCAGACATTCACTCAGGCAATCTGGACAGAAACTGACAACAAGAACGCCACTGACATCGGTTGGCAGCCATATCTTGTAGTGTCTCCAACCAGGCACAGTGAGGATCACGCGGTCCCCATCCTGGAAGGCGAGTAGCACCGACAGCACCCAAGCGTTTCGTGATCTCCTTCATACTCCTCTGCCAGGTCATGGGTTGGCCACCTCTCTGTTTACGCCACTCCGAATTGGGCATGGAAAACAGTACTCTCTTCGGCAAACGATGGTTCGGCATGCGTAAAACATGTCCCAACCAACGCAGCTTCTGGTGCTGGACACATTCTTCAATGGAAGTACCCGTTACACAACCGAAAACACGCTTTCTAACTGCCTCGTTACGGATTCGCTGACACCAACCCACACGAGCTATGGTTCTGAGACAACGATTGTCGAACACCTGAATACGTCTCAGGTCCGCTGCTCGAATAGGCCAAGTTTCACGGCCATACAACAAAACAGCCCGTACTGTAGCAGCAACCTAATCAAAATCTATCTAAATCCCGCACCAACCGTCGTCAAGGCGACAGTCGATTACAATTGCGAAGTGAGCTGTTGTTCACCGTCCATTTTCTACTAAAAAAGTCTGCAGGTCCTTGGTGAGGTGACCGAATAGATCAGGATAGTATTTTGCTACAGGATGGATGTGAGATTCGGGAATGACCCTAGCCTGCGGGTACAGTGCTCTAGTCGGAATTTGGTATAATTCTCGTTCTTCCGGCAAAGCAACTATGATAGGAATATAACGGGAAAGTTTACATCTGCATCCCCGTTTCAACTGAATGACAAACTTTTCTTATTTTTTCAATTCACTTCCTACCAGTCCGTATTCCTGCTGAATGACATCTTTTCCGTGATCAAAAAATACCGTCTGCAGTCAGTCCCAATAGTACTATTACTGTTGCCTTATTACGCTGTTCAGCTGGCTAACCGTATGCTGCCACTGGTCTCAATGAAACTGCATGTGTCTGCAGAAGTTGGCATGTGGATCAATGACGGTCGGTGCATTATTTTCCGTTGTCGGTTGAGTAGCTGTGGGCGCCGTTGTTTGTCGGGTTTGAGGAAGTGAGGCTTTGGTTAATTGTTCAATAGGTTCCCCAGGGTTAATTGAGTTAGGGAATGTATCGCCACTGCAGAACCTAATTCAATCTCTTCTGTACAATTATAAAGATGTGCTTATAGATGATTGGTATTTGTTTCACCCGATTCGCTGCTTCTCTGTATATGGTCGGTTTACTGAACCGCATAGATTCGTTCTAGCAGATGTTGGACATGGGGAATTCATCCTCACCTGAACCAGCTACAGAAAGAAGACAACAAGCACGTTCCAGGTAACCGTAGAAAAAGGTCGACAAAACCGAAACCCAGGTTTTGTGCGGATCAGTCTGGGCACGCGACCACATGGTTTTATCGTATTTTTTCTCGGAACCTATTCGGGATTTACCAACATTTGCAAATGTTTTGTTCTCACCGAAGGACGTGTAATTCATATACGGATCTAGCGAAGCTCTTTTTTCTACAAAAGCGCTGCTTTGGGTGGTCATGACTTTGATCACGCACAGTTGCGCGTGTGCCACTCGACTTCCCCTGTCTATGTTTGGGCAACCTGGCAGTATCCCAGCCCTCATGCTTTCTCCGGGCATCATGGCAGCTAGGCACCGGAAGAGTGTTACAACTGAACGATGTCAGCTCTATCCTGTGGAGCTTTCGGCGCCCCAGCGGTTATTTTAGGTGAATGCGGTTGGGTTGCCTAAGACGCTATGATCCCGTTGTCGACTTGTGTCGTTTGATGTCACGTATACTCCACTGTCTGGAATTTGCCGTGCTCTGGCCGTTTGTGTAACTTCGTGGCCCATTGAGCTATACTGGGGGCTGTCTGTGCGGCACTCACAGGCTCTCACACCAGGTTGAGTTCAGGCCAACATAGTTTCCTAATCCTCTAGGTTGGAGTTTGGTTGGTTTTTACAAAAAAATAATGCAATAGCATTTCCCGCTTAACGCCGCTGTCTTTTGGCCTGGCTCTTAAGCCGAAGGCTTTAGTTGAGGACCCTAGTGGTGGTTCTATCTTGGTTTGAGTGCCCTGACAGTATCACCCCTGGCTTACAATTGTCGCTTACAAAATGGCTACGATGTAAACTGCCATCTTATTCTACCAGTTCCTTGCGGAACAATTGTGCTAGCTATTGTAGACCCTGAAAGTAGACTACCTCAACAGCAGCTCAGTCAACGACTCTTAAATACACAGAAAGACTGGAAGGTTTTTGTAAGGTTTTTCTAGTTAACGAAGGCATAAGCAGGTGCAAAACTGACTGCGCACTCGAAAATTTCAAAGAAACATTCTGAACACTTTCAAAGCGAGAATAACATGGAGCGGTGTGAGGTATCTCGATCTAGCCCTTGTTTCTCCCTTCCGGCGTTTATGGCAAGTCAGCTTGGTGAAGTAAGTGTTAAAGACTGTAAAAATGCATTACAATCTAATCTGAATACGAACATAGTCGCAATCCGTGGTTCTGCAACCAAGAAGCCCAATTGTTTCGTAAACAGTCAGTGAATTTATTGGTGGGCAACGTTTCGCTTTCGACACAAAAGCTTCGTCAGGCCAAGTGAGCAAGTAAGTAGGTTGATTGGGTTTTTAAGGCAGTCAGGGAACCAATCCATGAGATTCCTTATGACTAGTGACGTGATCAGTGCTGGGTGTTCAGTCTGATGTCCCTGTTTGTTGATTAGTGGGGATAACTAAGATTTACGATAGATTGGTTAGGGAGGATTCGTCTTTATGATGAACCCGGATTTTTTCGTCCTTGCTTCTTCAGTCTAGGACACCTTAATGGAAAATTCCTCTTGG